TCATTGATAAGAATGAACAAAAAGACGAGCAAACTGAAACAAAATGATCAAATAATTCAATAAGTTACTCGGATCGTGTTAACAAAGCAAGTTTGCATTTATGATGAAAACAGCTACGTACATTCATAGAGGACAGTAATTTTATGTAAGACTGTTGCATGGTTGGCAAAAACACCCTGGTACTGTGAAATAATATAAAATAAAAAATAATAAAAATGGTCCAAGTGTCTGATGACCTTATACAAAATCTATGATGACCTTATGCAAAAACAAACTGAAATGAAGTCTCCAAGAAAATGATCAATTTCAAAGTGACTGTACATTTTTCTAAGACTAGAAGCATAATATGATCAGATATGTTTATAAAACAATGTTACTAGATGTGCATCATCATATCAACCTTAACCAAACTTCCATAAAATATGTATGGATAGCGGGAACAGCACGGAACCTGAAAATCAGTCTTTTCTTCATTTTTTTTATAATTTATATCAACATTTGCAAACAAAAGGACCTGACAGTTTCAATAACGTATGGTTTTATTTTTAATGTTAGTAAAGAGTTACGTTTTAATTCTTCTTAGAAGGAAGCTTTTTGCTTGTTGTAATGTTGCATAAACGACATACATAAAGCTGATATAAATCAAAATATGACATAAGAAAATGATTTTACCTTAATATATAAATAATGTGTCACGCTAGTTTGATTATTTTATGCAGGTGCGTGTCATTTAGGCAAGTGTGCACATATGCAGAAGAAATAGATGACATAAAACGTATGTGTGAGAAGTTGAAACAAAGTTTAAAATGTAAATGACACAATGATTAATTAAACAGACAAAACGACAAAAAAAACACAGAATATTTCCTTACAAATTCATTATCATGCCTTTATTAAGTTGCCCTTTTCCTTACTTAAGGAAGGTTACAGTCATTATTATGCAAACCGTGTCAGTAATAAGAAACATAAGCAAAATGCCGTTATGAAACAGAAATGGACTTCTTTTGGTTGGATATTCTTGAATTATCATTGAACATGGTCAGGTAAGAACACCTTGTCGGTGAGACGCAGAAAAGAAAATTAGTATTTGTACCATAAAGTTGCTGAAGAAACACAAAATAAAGCCTGTTTGTACCACTTCCTTCTTAATGAATATCAATTAAGATAGACATATCGTGTACATTATTTGCTTAAGTACGCTTACAAGAGTTCAATCGTGTTAATTTACCATTCATTCATTTTCATATGCATACATAGTAGTAAGTGAATTTGTAAGCCGATCTGCTGACTGTTATCTTTACATTTAACCGCCAAACTACAGCGACCGACTTACGAGCATTTACGGACTACTTAAAGAAGATAATTAATTAAATGTTCTCAATTTTGCTTGCAGCGAAGCTTATGAAATTGATTAGTCTATTTACAAAAGTAACTTAACGATGAGGAAACGGTAAAGAATATTCGAGAAGGATGGGACCAAATTTAAGATTGAAGTAATGTCTGAATTGACAGAGTTATTGACAATAATCTTGCTGTCTGCTGATGTATTATAAACACTTTCCGTCTCGTCGAAAGGGCTCTTTTGTCAGTGTGATTTTACTCTTATCTATTTACTTATGTAAGCGGTTTCTGGGACACCCGTGGTTTTATTGTCACGGTTCAGAACTGTTCACTATTTAGGGGTGAGGATGTGTAAGCGGTCAGATAGCTCAGTCGGTATAGCCGCGGAACGGTATTCCGAGGGTCCCTGGTTCGAGTCCCGGTCAGGCTGTACATTTTTCTCACCCTGTGACATTTGGTGCCCAACGTGGGGCAGTGACTGTTACAGCTCAGAGTTTAATTTACATCGCTCTGTAACTCTGTGAAATTCGAGGACGAATTTCAATAAAAGCAGGGGAGTATGTCACGGTTCAGAACTGTTCACTATTTACGGGTGAGGATGTGTAACCGGATAGCTCAGTCGGTAGAGTCGCGGAACGGTATTCCGAGGGTTCCGGGTTCGAGTCTAGGTCAGGCTGCACAATTTATCTCACCCTGTGACATTTGGCGCCCATCGTTGGGCCGTGACTGTTATAGCTCAGAGTTTAATTTACATTGCTCTGTAACTCTTTGAAATTCGAGGACGAATTTCAATATAGTAAGGGAGTATGTCACGGTTCAGAACTGTTCACTAGTTAGGGGTGAGGATGTGTAAGCGGCCAGATAGCTCAGCCGGTAGAGCCGCGGAACGGTATTCCGAGGGTCCCTGGTTCGAGTCCCGGTCAGGCTGCACATTTTTTCTCACCCTGTGACATTAATAAATATAGAGCAATTGCTTCGATGGCAATGACATAACTTGAAAAGATAAAAACCGCATGTCTGCGATTCGTCGTACAAATAATTTTGCAAAGAAAGGCCCTTCTTAGAAGCAAACATGAAAGAAAAACTCCTTTCTTACGTTAATGTATTGGAAGTGTGAATAAGAGAACTCAAACCTAACAGTCCTAAATATAGTTGCTTTCGAAACGTTTGTCCAAGTTAATTAAGTTTTTTTAAAAAAAAAAAACTCTTACTATTTCCATCAACAAAAAAGATCAAAATCCTAATATCAACATAAAATAGAACTCGAATGGAACGCTTTTCAGAAAATTGATACAGTATCATATTTTGGCCTTAAGGTGACAACAGACACTTTCCGTGGTAATTACATAAATGTCATTTAAACCAACTTTTTTTTAGTAATAATTGTTATTTATTTAATCGTTGTGCATTAAATGTCGTTGATCATCATAAAAAAATAACATATTTGAAAAAAATGCCTTTGTAAATGATTGATTTTTAATAAAAATCCTAAAATTTTAAATCGTCATATCAAAGTCATTTTTTATTTTTTTGTCATCAAACTTTTGGAAAATAAACATACATGTACTTATAATATCTGGGGAAGAGTGTCTCAAATTTTTTCTATCTTTTCTCAAAAAAATATTACGTAACGTCAAACATTTTATGCGACTTTTTTCACCATACATATTACGTAATTAAAGATAATTAAATCGCTGATTGAGCAAACAAAAATCCCTGACACGGTTCCCTCCGTAAATAAATTCCCTTTCATGTGCTTTAAACCGCATGTTAATTGCTTGATTATTAAAAAAGTTATGCCGATTCAAAGTTAGTCCGACCCGCATCAAACGAAGTGTCATAAATCGGCTGTTCTCTCTCGGACCCCTACGTTTCACGCTAAATAATTGCATAATACACAAATATCGCACCAGAGAGGGTCACAAGTTGCGGTAACATACTCTAACAACATTTTATGACCCAGTGACATCTGACCAATTAAAAAGTTGCTGATTAATAGCAGTTTATAACAAAAATTTCTTCAAATCTTAACGTGATTTACCGTCTGTCTGGTATCGGTCGCACATGCCACGTGACTTTCGGTAAAATTTGAGGCACTCGGTGGGGGGAAATGGAACGTATTTGCGCACCGCTAGCGGGGTATTTAATTGTTTCACTTTTGAAGTTTATTATTATTATCATCAGCATTATTATTATATTATACCAGTGTCAATCTGTCTGTGTATTCGTGTATGAAATTCCGTTAAAATATAAATTAAAATAACAAAAAACTGAGCTTCTGACGGTCTTTTAAAGTCCATGGTAGATGTACAAATAAGAACGGGATATTATATATTTTTTCCTCCAAATTGATATAAATGCTTCACATATTTTAATAGAAATAAAAGGTATCACTCGATCATTATGATCTGGCCTTCTTGACTTCTATTATCATGAATACACGTATCATCTATGCACGACATAGAGATCCAGTTTCTACTGGGATATACAATAAATTCCATACTTTGTCTCAGGTTTATTAGTACTGTGTTCGATTTACTGGCGAACAATTTATTCAAAGCATTCACTGATAATATATTTTATTATCTTTTTTTATTGATTCGTAGAGAAATAATCATCCTTAGACAACCTAAAATGGTTTAGAAATTTGTCAGGGACACCTAATCACAAGTCATATAGGCGTTCACATAAAAATCTTGTCTGTTTTTGTTGTTGTTTTACTTGACATTGTTAGAAAACGGGGTTGAATGTAAAGCAAGTCCTTGAATCCGTAAAAAAAGTCCATAAACTCAATGTAATATCTATCAGATTAACGGGACAGACAAATTATTTTCACACATTATGGATATTTTAGCAACTATATTTCTAATCAACCCCGTGGTCGTGCGATTTGCCGCTATGCTTAATTATTTATGTTTCATACATTATGTTACGTACATTGGCCGATAATTTCTTATTTTATAAAAAAGGCTAAATAAAAGGTAGACGATATTCATAAAAGATGTACGGTATTTGTACGATACATGAATTACGAGTGGTATGGACCAGTATGGATAGGTAATTCACGCATATATGGAACTACCGATTTCCCTCATTGATGCCTCAACAGGGGGCGGAGCGTTATCGATAATTGACAGGTTACGCGAATAGCAGATAAAAATGGTACAGGTACCGTTTTAAAACGTTTAAAAACACATTTTTTGGACTAACTGCTTCCAAAATTAAATCACGAATGTGTTCAGAAAAGGTTGATAAATCTACTAAGCAAAAAATCTCATTTTAGGTATTTTCAGTGATAATTGACTCCGTTGTCACCTTAATTTCTACTTTTAAACAAAACTCTGAATTTTGTTGAATTTTTACTAGAAGTCTATAGCCTTTCTTCTTCCGCGAACTCAAACACTAGTTGCAAACAACATGGTATGTTTAAAAGAAAAGATAGAAACTGAAACAAAGAAAAATGTTTCTGGACGAGCGGTTGGTGCCCTCTATTCAGTGAGTAGATGGCATTCTTAAAATAAAAAAAACCATAAAATTTGAAATTCTTACATTCTTACTCCCTTAAACTCTTGGATTTTATTTAAAAAAAAAGATTTCTATATCATAACCAAACATCAGATACATGTAATGAAAATAAGCTTCTCATACTATTAGAATAACTAATCACACTTATGAATTTCGCAACTTTGTTTATAGAAATCTTGCGTCACGCTTTCTGGAATGCACCAAGGCGACGAATTTTCATCAAAATCTGAATTTCTACAATAGTTCTCGGCTTCAGCTGGATCTGGACAGTAGGAGGTCTCGCAGAAACTGGTTGCTTCAGGGGAATCCCACCTGAAGCACGTTGTTCCCATGTATGTTGTGTTTCGTTTCCCTTTATACTCCCCTGGTGTTGTCAAGTAACAATCTACAGCAAATATAATTGTTTTAATATAAACACATTTCCTGCTCAAATCGTATGTTTATTTATTAATTTATTTTATTTTTTGAGGTAACTATTTTCATTATTTTATCTATCTTTTTATTTATTATTATATTTGTGGGGAATGGGTGGCTTTCCTTTTGAAACGAAACTGATAAATAATTTGTTTTATATCAAACTCAAAAGTTAAACTGACCCTATGCCAGTTCAATTGTATGTAGTTATTTAACAGGTAAAAATCACAGTATGTTAACATTTTGTCATAATGACTTTTAATTTTATGATTTACTTCCCATGAACAATACATAAATGAATAAAATTTCTGTAAATAGCCATCGGAATTTAGCGTTTGATATATGGGACACTTTTTATATTAAGGCACATTAATATTTAACCCTAAACATTTTCCAATATCAACTGTTGATCAATTATTATTATAATAGTCAAATGTTTTAAGATGTAGCAAATTCAGCTCAACTTGACAATGAAAAAACAAAGAGCATATATATTATGTCACTTTAAGTTAAATAGCTTTATGTATTTTACGAAAATTTGTTACATTGTTATCAGCTATGTTGGACTGTATGGAATCTGCATTATACTAGTATTTTTTCTAGAGAAAAAAAAGATGAAACTAAAGTACCGTAATCAAAAGATTTGAATCTTTTCAAAGCTGAAATCATCGCAACACCTATAAATAATCGCTGAATATTTGAAAAGAAGCGTTTAATTCTACCTTTCTATCTGTTTTTCTACACTTTTGTAGAAAATGAATATCATATTACTGGCCTAATATATCTCTTATTAATTGTTTTCACTAAGGTTTGATTTTAATTTAGAATAAAAACCTTTCTTTAACTTTTTTACTTACAATGCCACTCTATTTATAGTACTAACCCGACTGTCTTGTTTCAGTTAAAGCAGCACGTCTCCAGATTTATGTAAATTTTCTTGAATATTTTGGAAATGTTTTTAAAAGTAAAATATTGCGAGGTGAAAAAACAAAGTAGTTTACATATTGCAATCGGCACTTACAATCCAAGACAATTACCAAAATGTGGTCCACATATGCAAAGACAGTCCTTACTGCGTTAATAACGCAGTAGAAATATGGTGATAAAATACTGCAAAATCAGTCTTAAACCGCACATAATACATGTAATATGTAAAGAAATAACTTCACTATTGTTACTTTTCTTGATAAAAGTTTGGTTCATTTTTTTCAATATTGATTTTCTTGAAATATTTTGGCTCATCTGGAGACGTGCAGCTTTTAAGTCACTTTATAATTATGCATTATATCAAGAAAAAAACCGTCAATTTTTGTCATACCGTACTCTTCACAGGTAGCCGTTTCCCAAACACCATCAGACGTGCACGTGATCGTTTCAGAGGAAGCACGGAATCTCGAGTCACAGGCTACAGTTGCTGTGTCCATGAAGTTTGTTCCAGAGGTCAAAGTGATATTTCCGTAAGCAATAGGTGGTGGAGTCCCACAACCTATGTATGAAGAAAGAAAGGAAAATTGTCAAAGACAATAGTATGCTTTTTCAAATGTTGAACGTTCGTTGCATGAAATAATTAGTGCATTACAAAACAAACAAAGAATTTGAAAACCTGAAAAAGGTAATTTCACATAATCGAAAATTTATTTAGTCCCGTCACATAAAAAAAACACACAAAAAAACACACACCTCAATGGTAAAAATTAATTGAATCGAACAAGTATTATGCTAGCTTTAATTATATAATTATAATGAATTATATAAATTCTGCACTTGGTTAGTCAACTTTAAAAGCTTATCAATTATTGTGCTTTGAAGTAAATCATGACGACCGAGGTAAAAAAATGAAATTGTTATATTGTAATTGATTATTAAATTATTAATGTCAAAACCAAAATGAAATCAAATGAAACAACAAACTGTGAACTTTATCAAACAACTGGAGCGTTACCTTTATTACATGCTTTCCAGAACTTTACTGTAAAATAGCAGATAATTATATTCTTATAAAGCACTAGGGAAATTTATAAAATATGTTAATTTATTATTTTCACAATAGCCGGACTATATTTGAATGCGAATGGAAAGGATATCATAACAACATGAAATAACAGGCAAAAATAAATGCTGTCGTCCGTAAATTTTGCTTCATGAAGAAAAGAAAGTCGATATCACCATACATCATGATAAATTGTAACAGAATTAGAAAAATCCAACAGAACTATATCTCAAAATTAATGATGTGATGTCACGATTTGATGACGTTATTAAGGGGAATGCGCGACATTATGCAGCAAAATCAGTAACATATACCTAAAAAGAATGAAATAAAAGAAAATTTATTTGTTTTACATAATAAGAAAGAATAAGAAATATATTTCTTTCGTGAACACCAGCTATTCTATTTTTAAAATATTGCATATGGTGTACACTCAGTGAAATATATTTCAATCTTACATGCCAAACAAACAAATATCCTCTATGTAGCCAGGGTCTTTCAAATAGAGTGGTCTGGAGACCGACCAATTTTACGAAAAATGCTGTCTCGGTTGAGTCACGTGATTGGGTTATCTACCGACCCTGATATGGCATAGAACATCACCATTCAAAAATCAAATTATAAGATAATGTTTTGTTAAATCAATCAAAAAATTACTAAAAACTAAATTTGACTACATTATATTATCAGGTTTTACTTTAAAAGTAACAATTTTATAGATTTGCAATGAAATTAGAAATTTTTCGTTCCCGGTGTCAAGATAAAAATCTACTGCTCATATTCGAAAATAGGTCCGAGTTTCATGAGCTTTTTTAAATTTATGCATTGTTCAATGACAAAATAGAAATTGATTTTACAGAGAAAAGATGTTATTAAATCGTATCATGTAAAAGTATTATAATATTTCACGATGTTATTTGCAAATATTTGATGTTTAGTTTGGTGCATTTTCAAAATGGCGCCGATTATCGGCAAACATTCTGAACAAACAGTCTATGTTTTTTTAACAAATATGGCTTTAAAAACACCATTTCCTGAAATATTTATCCTTTTTTCAAAAGTTTAAAGATTTTTAAATAACATCATGTCGTTGAAATTTTCATTTTTGCTCTTGTATTTAATATTCGCCCTTTTCTTGAACACTTACATAATTTGTTTATAGCAATCTATACCGATTTATACTGAGACATGTTTAATTGTAGGGAGAAGGGTTTACATAGCGTGTTTCCAGACCATTCTATTTGAAAGACCCTGATGTAGCTAATTACAATGTATCAGACTTATTTTATAAGAGGAGGAAAGAAGAAATTTTATTTAGCCTTTACACTTACATGAATCTCGTTATACATTAAAACTACTAGATATACATAAAAAAAAACATTTTGTCACGGTTGGTATAAAATTGTTACAGAATAAAAAATGTTTCAGTTAATTCATTCTGGAGAATAAGTATGAAAGAGGACATTGAAAACCAGGAATTTTTCACTAAGAAAGTGTCTTACAGTGAATAAATGGACATTGTTATAGTCTAGAATATGAATTCAATAAATCATTTCTTTTCATATTGGCTAATCAAATAATTGGATAGATTACTAGGAACTGATCAGTTGTTTGACCTAAGAATATCGATGAATTAGTACATGCTAGGTCTATAATAAAATTGACGTTTGAGAATTCTTAAAATAAGGTAAGCACTGCATATAAGAATAATGTGATGCTCGTCTTCAATCCAAGAACATTGACATAATCGGCATAATCCTTCCTTCTTTCTATTCTGTTCCTACCATATCTGCCTTCTAGGATTTTAAGATTTTTCGAAGAAATTCTTAAACGCGTAATAGATCTACAACTTCTTAAATATTTAGATTTGAAAGTATTCAATAATTTTTAGATGGATATAAATGGTGTTTTATTAATTTAGTGGGTTTTTATTATCTGATTGTAATTTTTGTTTAAAGCAATCCAAAACTCTTTGTTTAAAATATACTGAAATGTATTTATATAAATGTCATTTGTTTTCAAAAATACATCTCCAAAAGAATATTTTTCTGATAATAATTTAACATTGTTTGTTCTATTTTTGACACCATTTAAACACATTTTAATGAGATATTATATATCTCATTGCAATAATATCATTTGTATTATAATTTTTCAACCAATTTTTCATAACGCCTAAAAAATATGTTCACAAACTATAATATGAACTCTTTCTATATCTTCTGACTTGGTAAAAGCCGAGACAGGACATGCATAATTTAGATTACAACCAACAAAAGAACCAAACAATTGTAAAGAAATATATGGTGACAATTCTACATTATCAATATTTCTGTGTAGTTGTAGAACGTTATATTTTACATGTAGAGCGTGACAATTCTACATTATTGATATTTCTTTGTAGTTGCTTTTAAGGCTTTTCCACTACAAAACTAACGAAGCCGTATAATTTAAACATCCTCCTAAATAGTTGAAATCATCAAACTTCTCTAATCTAATTGTTCATTATTATAAAAAAATCATTCTGCCTAAATGAGCCCCTTTTTCTAAATATAAGGCATTTTTTAAAAGTATTAACTTGGAAACCCCAGTATGTACAATATTCATATAATACGTTAGTACTGAATTGTAAATCTTCTGTAGAATGTCCTTCTAACACAATATCATCAGCAAAAATTTACAGACCAAAATTTATTCTATTTTGTAAGAATAATTCTAAATTCTCAAATAGGCGCCGACATGGTCGGAGAATTATTTTGATTTTGATATAGTCCAACTGAAGTCTAAAAACGACTGGGTATGTGTTGCAATATAAATACACGATTAAACAACAATATACATTATGTACGAAGCCTGAAAACATAAAAAACAATTCATCAAACTCATGTTAAACAAGTTGAACCACAAAGCATGCCAATAAACATAGACAAATAGTTTCGAGAGCAATTCTAGTAAAGATATGCTCTATCAAGTTATTTGAAACAAATACAGCGTCGGTTGTACGAAAGCCAAGCTGTGTATGTGATAAAAAGGAATATCAACAAATAATTTTTTAACGTTTCTAGTAATAAAATAAGTAAAATGTTTTCAAAAATTACTAAAGGGTGTTATTCTGCTGTAATAAATCGGGATATTTTGTACTTTTTTATGAGCTGGCTCGATCAAATTTCGGGAAAGTGGCCAGAATCAAAAATGTTATTGAATAAATCGGTTATATGCCCAACGACTATATCTGCTGAAGAGATAAAATATTCGTTTAACGTTATTATCGCTTGGGCAAAATGATTTATTACTTTTAAGACATTTAATTGCTGACAGTACCTTGTTGCAAGTAGCGTACTGCACGTTTGATGACGATAATATGTGTACGAGCCTGTGACAAAATCATCACCTAATCTACATGTCATTTTCTTTTACGATTTACATACTAAAATAGTTTGTTTCTTTGAATCATTTCAAATCATCTCAATAATTATGAAAATATTTGGGTTTTGAGAATGCCTTATTATAAAAGTGTATAATTTGAAAAAAATGCATCGTGTGATATTTTAGTTTGAATATTTTTATATACGCAAAATATAATTCTAATTTGTTTGTGCAATCTGGCTTTGAAACCTTTTTTCAAGACAAATAATATCATTCTGTATCAAGATAAATAGTGCTACAGTTAATGACATTTTTATACAACTCAAATCATTGTTCACATTCAATGCTGAACATTTATATAAATATTGATAATAATAATAATAATAATAATAATAATAATAATAATAATAATAATAATAACCTGAAGCATAACCAATATTTCCCTCTTCCGTAGTCATCCCTTCTGTTGTTAAACATCCAACACATTTCTTCTCCGACGGTTTGTAGAATACGGCAACGCACGTGTCATAGCGTGGACACTGGAACGCACACTGGATATCGCTTTGTATATTGAGCACATTGAAGACAATACCGGACTCAGGACAGGTTAATCCGTCAAAAGTTCCATCATTCAAGAAATTGTTGAACTGAGCAGAGGAAACAAGGCAACGCGACAAGCCTAGAGCGAAAAGGTGAAAGATATTACATAAAAATGCGTTGGTCATGATTTAAAAAGTAGAATTGTTTCTTTTTAAGTTACAACAATGAATGCTAAGTAAGAAGTGAAGTACTTTACATCTTATCACTGCGCTTGCTTAATCTGCTATAGTTCATATCAGGCACACACGTTTGTGATTCATGCTTTATAGATGGCTTATAATTGCATGCTTATTATCATCAATTATCTATCACCTTTAACGGAAATTACATTGTCAATAATTCAGACAACTGATGTTTGTAATGATAGTTCTAATCCCAGTTAATGCATATTATATTTGCTTCATAAAATTCTTGTTAATTCATTAGTTACGCTTTGATATGGTATAGATGCCCTGACACCGAAAGGCCTCTAGCTAGCATAAACTACGTATATGTTAATATTCATTTGTGCTGCTCTACAGAAATTATAAACTTCGACAAAAGCAATAGTAACCTGGGAATGTTTCTAATTTAAGTAGTACAGCTACGGATGAATACTAGCTAACATACTTAGTGTCAAGCTCTATTTGGCTTCATTAATAATCTCTATATTACATCACAACCTGTCTATACTTTACGAACGCAGTTCAGTTCTATGAAGCACTATGAAACACTATGGAAAATAGAAGAGCAAGTTTAACCTATATGTGTAACAATTGATATAATACATATACACAAACACTAAATCCCAATGAGTGGGTAAATTTCTAAGTTTCGATCTACATGTATTTCCGACAAGAAAGCAAGAACCTGAAAGACGCTTAAGCCTTCTTAAGGCAATTTTTGTTAATACGTACCTGTTGCGTTCATTTTCTCTCGTAAGATGGTATTCCTTACAAAATTACGTCATTATTTGAGAACAAAACGGTATGATGGTTCACATTTATGCCCTATACAGCTTGAATCCTTGTCAAGAAGAATACTGCGTTTAAGGTATATAAATTTGGTCAACAATGCGTGATCCATTGTTTTCTTTACCGTCAAATCCATCTCCCTTCATTCTAAAGCTTCTGTTCGCTGCCCAAAAGGGAGCATTTCCGGTTGTTATACGTGACGTGTTTCCGTTAATGTCATGTTTTGCTAACGTGTTTGTCTTTGTTCTCATACTGTATTTGTCAACATGTTTTCTAAAATGATAATCTTATATATTTACATGTACTTAGTGATATAAACTTACTATGCTTATACAAGTACGTCATTGTTTTCAAAGTCTTTTTATTCTGTAATAAAATTGCTAGCTATATTTAGTCAAAAAATTATATCACTTGACGAATCAAGCACTTAAGTTACAGCATCAGTAATATGTTTAAAAACATATAAGAACAATCGGACGTAAAAAATGAACAATTTAGTAGTCTAATGATGTTTATTCAAAAAAATATTCAAGGAAATAAACATTGAGTTATTCCGTGAAAACTCAAATATACCAACTAAAATTAATCGTAGAAGAAAAGTAATTATGTGAAGATCCTTTAACGATCGATGAAATAAAAGTTGCAATGGCAAAAATGAAAAATTGAAAAGATCCTTGACCCGATGGAATATATGTCAAATTATACAAATAAGATTTCAGGGCAAGACTGTAAATCTAAACGGGCAAAAAACTCTATATTTGTTTCAATGTACCGTACATGAACCCGATTTGAAATATAAAGGCAATTTTTAAATAACATATTGAAACCGAAGTGCAAAATAAATTATACAAATAATTCAAGGAAAGATAAAAAAATATTATTTTGACCAATAGTGCAAACAAACATTTATGTATCGCTTAGTGAAACACTATAAAATTATTACATCTCTCCCTAAAACCTTGTCAGGAATGACTTGGAAAACACAATTTAAATATTTTCAACTTGGTCTCTTACACAAAATCTAAGAACGTAAGCAAACTTCTCACAAGGATTCAAATAAAAATAATAAACAAGGTGAAACAAGTAAACTTGAGCTAAAATAAAAAGCAATATATTAAACCACGATGGATTTTTCTAATTCAATTAACTCATAGTTATCAATATGGCAATGTTTAAAGTTATATCAGTAAATTATTTTAGTATCAGTAGTAAAAGAGAAATTAATATAAACCCTTGTGAATTTCTAAAATGAATAAATAATTTATTTAGCAATTAGTAAATTGTTATGCCCCCCAGAAATTTAAAGAGCAATTTATAATACCTAATCATCTGTATAGTTAACAATATTCCATACAGAGTGATTTTTTAATATCAATAATAAAAGCAATACAGCTATAGTAAATCATTTATTATATAGAAATGTTTGGGTTTTGGGTTTGTATTAAAACTACGGAAGCGTATCAGGGCCTACAGTCGGTGAGATGTTTTGCGCCAAGTCAACTTATTTTTATTCGCATTGATAAGATGTTTTTTTACATTTCTCAATAAAATTTACTAACAAATATGAGAAGCTTTTAGGTATTGCAACTGAATTTTTCTCGATTTCCTTGAAGCTTTTGTCTCTTCGACAAAAATCCTGTCGAAACTTCTTGATTTCACGACTTTGCTGAAATATTTAGTGAGACGCAAAGACATTACTCGCATTGACAAATAGCTCACGTAATTCAACAAAGTTTTTTTGCAATGATTAAAAACTTCTACGTATTACGTATAAATCTTAACGTCTTCACGGAATGTTTTATGTATTACGTATTAATCATAACATCTTCATGGAATTCATTTGATCAAAACGATAAGAAAGAAGTTGACATGACGTGAAACCTTAAGATAAGTGGAGGCCCTGATAAGCTACTGTATAAAACAGTTCCTATATGTGCAACTTTGAACAAAATCTGATAAACGCTTAATTAACACAATCTTAAATAAACCAAAACAGTAGCGACCAGCACTTTGAATAAAATTAATTTAACAGTTTTTCATATTGCAGATTATAAACGGAACATAAAAGCCAAAATTTTAGTAAATAGGAAAAGGAAAAAAAATCAACAAATGAAACAAGTCCCCATAGGCTTCAGATGTGTCCAAGGAAATAAAGTAAAAATTGTGTAAACAGGAAAAGAAAAAAATAGAAATGAAATAGAATTAAAGAAATGGAACAAGTCCCCTATAAGTTTCAAATGTGTACAAGGAAATAAAAGTCAAAATTTAGTAAATAGAAAAAGAAAAAGAAGAAATGAAATAAATTTAAAGAAATGGATCAAGTCACTATAAGATTCAAATGTGTGCAAGGAAATAAAAGTCAAAATTTTAGTAAAATGGAAAAGAAAACCAAGAAATAAAAGAAATTTAAAGAAATGAAACAACTCCCCACAAGCTTCAAATGTCTGTATCATAAGCTAGAAGAAATCTAATAGCTAGCTTATTGTATCATATTGTTCCGTAAAAATGTACAAAGATGTATTATTTGTATATTTAGTAATGGTAAACCTATCTATGTCAAAATCACGCAAGAGGTCCGCTTCCTGAAACAGCACGAAAGAGAATATCTCCAATATGTACAACACAATTGTTTAAATAAGATTTGCTAAATTTAGATTTCTGCAAAAATTTCCCATAAGCAAAAATAACATTTTATATGGTAATACTCTTCATACAAGAATATCTCTATAAAACATCTCTATATTTAAACTCTTACCTATCTGTGTGTGGATTTCTCTACCGACTCCATCCCCGACAGTTGTAGTCATTGAATTCCTTAAAAAAAGCTGCCGTTTTTTTTTTTTGCCGTCTCGGTTCTTGGCAAATTTAATCACAACTCGTACGCGCTTTATAAAATGAAAACTATCTTAAATGGTAGTATTTACTTAAAGGTTTAAAGTTATTATGTCTTGTTAGTTATTCTATTCTTAAGGTAGTACATCCCTTATGAACTATCTCCACTTTATAGAGTATTCAAATAGGCTAGAATCACTGTAAAATGTATTGAAACTGAGCGGCGTGGGTTCAAACCCCAGAAGGGGCAACTTTTTTTCTTTCTTTTTTACCTTTTTTTGTTAATCTCTCAGATCCGTAATGAAAGAAAAAGGTGTTTCATTTTAAATATATAAGTATTGTAGGTATTTATTTATTAAACAATGCAAAATTTAATGGCAAATATGATACCAGATATTTTCAAAATTTGATAAAATAAAAACTACACAGTAAAAGTATATTTTTATATTTTGCAAGACCAACCAAAATACATTTAAAAAAATTAAGGTAAACTTTGAAAACAGCCCCTCATTGTGGAAAATTTTAGGGATATTTGTAATAAAGCTTTATACATAGGGAAATGGTCAAATAAGTGTTATAAGTGGATGGGGTAGGGTTACATTTTTATACATATTAAAAACATTTCGTTTACAAACGATCATTTTGCTTGTTTGATTTGTTACCTAAATGTCATTATTTGTTCCTTTACAATGAGCAATAGGAAAACATTTTTCATCATGATGATATTATAGATAATTTAGAGTTTTCTCATTTCTGAAAAAAACCCTTCTAATGGAATTTTTTTTATACAGGTGACACTTTAGGCATATAACTGTCCCATGTTGTCATTTTACAGTTATATAGTGCCCATAAAGAATGTTTTACTTAAATACATTTTTGCTAAAAATTGCATTTAAAATTTGCATTTGCGATGGCAAATAAGGTTATTTTCTTTTCAAAGTAGATTTTGCCATGGTAAAGTGTGTTTTGCCATGGTATTTCGGTATTTTACCATGGCAAATACCCTTGAGATGTTCCCGTCGTTTGCCATGTCAATTCCTTAAAAACATTCTAACACTTATCCTATGACATGTTCTTAGAGCCATTGTTATGTCTTTATTGAAATCTCTTTTTTTTTTTCATTCTGCCATAGGAAAACTTTGCCATGGCAAGACCTTGGTAAGATTTTTCTATAATATATCTTGGCATTTACATATTTCCTTTAAACGTGAACAAAACTAAAAAGCTCCGTTATTTCTTTTATGGAGGTAGACGTTAAAGCAGCAGGCCTCCAGATTCATGGCTTATTTTTATGAAAATTTGAAAAAGGTTTGTAACAGTATAATATTGTAAAGTTACCAAAAACAATGCAATT